TTCCCTCTTGGCATACATTGAGGGAGTGGATGCAGCCGTCTATGGCCATACATGAAGCGGGTGTGTTGTCTCGTGTCTCCCAGTACCCGTTGTGTGGTGCTGTGGAATTCGGGGGATCATCAGCCGCTGCGCCTCATATGACTGAGGCAAGGGCCGTATAAAATGGTCGAGCCTTCGCGTTGTGGCGTATAAAATGTGTTCATCCCCCCCCCGTTCCCTCTTGGCATATATCCCCCCCTCTTAGCGTCTATCATTGCAAAAGTGTGGGGACATTGCATCTTTCGGTCCAGCAGGAGCTTTGCCTGAGGCACACGTGTCTTGGGCTGCATCAGCCTTCGGGCTGCCTGCGATGCGGGGCCAGCGGGTCCGACGACCCGCCATATTTTCTTTCGTTCGTCCTCGAGCTACCCCTCCATCGCGGCATGCCCATTTGCGTCTGCCGGGCCACAAGGGGCACGGAGGGGGAAGGCAGAGTGGGAAAGCGATGAGTACGATCCCCTCCTGTCTCCTGTCCTTTCTGTAAATTTTTGTTGTGTCGAGAAATCCCTTTCCTCACGCGAGAAAATGGGACGATTCTTTAAAAAAAAGAAACCGTTTCTTCAGACAGCCGGCAGCAAGAGAATGCAGTGCTCTACGGACAACCAACAGATTCTGCCATTCCATCTCCTTTCACCCAGGACGTCATCGTTTCTCTGCCGTTTCTCTGCCAAAATGTTCAACCCCCCCTTTTGGCATACATCATTGCAAAAGTGTGGGACATTGCATCTTTCGGTCCAGCAGGAGCGTTGCCTGAGGCACACGTTTCGTTGGCTGCATCGGCCTTGGGGCTGCCTGCATGGATGCGGCTGACCGCCATATTCTTCTTTCGTTCGTCCTCGAGCTGCCTCTCCATCTCGCCATGCCCATTTGCATCTGCCGGGACGCAATTGTTTCTCTGCCTTTCCCTCTTTGGATTTCCCCCTGATGTCATCACGGGAGGAGGACCGCCACAGAGTAGACGCATCCGTTGTCGTCTGCCCCCGCCCTCTACTCGTGAGAGGCAGGAAGCCGTCTGAGACCTCTGTCGGCGTTGTCGAGGGCACCATGACGTACGAGAACTTGATCGCTTCCTGGGTCGCACACTTCCTGAAGCGTCCAAGGCCCCAGAGACCGCTAGACATCGACAGGATCCGTGAAAAGATCCGTCACATCCCCTACTACAAGAAGCCCACCTTCTTCTTCATCAAGATGGACTCCATCACCACCGACGAGACCTTCCTCCGCCTCGAGGCCCGCAGCAAGGGCCAAACCCCGTTCCATCTGCGGGGGTCCTACGGCAAGAGGGGTGGGTCCCAGGCGCTGACTCCGCTACGCATCTGCGACGGGTATGATGCCACGCACGTCACTTCACGCCCTCGGGAGCAAGTTCCTGTGCGCATTCCTGTCTGTTGGCCTGCCCTGTGTGTGCACAGCCACAGACTAGAGCCGTTCGTTGTCGTGTTCCCGCCCCTCTTTCTCGTGAGCAGCAGGGAGCGCCGCGACTGTAGGCGTTCTTGATGTCACCATGGCCTTCACGAAGGAGAACTTGATAGAGCTCACCCATGTGACAGACTTCTTCATGCGACTCATCAATGGCACCGAAACTCTTACCACTCATAAGCCATGGAGTAAGAGAGTACCGTTCCTCTACTTGCGACAGCTTCCGAGTTGTCCAGCCTTGCTGTAAAGAGGAAGGCACCTCACTCCACATGTAGTGAGATGCGTCCCTCCCCACATTGCAGACTACAGACTCATCAGACGGTCGTCAAGTCGCTGGCAAAACACTGAACCAGCTTGAGGTAGTAGATGCAGCCGCAATTGTGCAGCCGTCTATGGCCACACACGCAGCGGGTGTTTCCTCGTGTCTCTAGGTGTCTCCCACAGTATCCATCGTGTGGTGCTGTGGCATTCGGGGGATCCCCAGCCTGTGGCTCATCACCGAAGGCAACGGACGTATAAAATGGCCAAACCTCCGTGTCATGGTGTATAAATGTCCACCCCCACGCCTCCGGGCATACACCATTGCAAAAGTGTGGGGGCATTCCACCTTTCGTCCCGGCAGGCGCATTGCCTGCATGTGCTGAGACACACAGCCAATTGCTGAGGGTGGGGCTGGCACGAGGGAGGCAGCGGCTGGCCAACCCTCGCAGCCTCTCCATTCTGTAAATTTCTCAATTAATTATTGGCGAGAATTCGGGATCGTCTCCGGGAGACGGAGAGAAGCAAATGGACAATTTCTTGATTCGCAGCCAATCGGTTCATTTGCCCTCATCCCGCTTACAGCTGCACCGTTTCTCCGCGTTTTTGGCTCCGCGTGGCGTTCCTTGTCTTAGAACTCGCAAGAGGTGGTCGCCAGGAAGGATGAGGAAGCGTGCAAGGATCCCGAGTAGCCCCAGCAGGAGCCCATCGTCGCCCACACCAACAATACCGCTGCTGAGAGGTAGTGCGCACACGGAAGAACGTGCCACGCACCCCATTCCATGCACCCCTTTCTTGCCTTGGTGTGTGCTACCTGCAGCGTGAAGACGAGGTTGCGTGTGAGGCGGCCATGGCGACGGGGAGGGTGAGGGCGAGGGCAAGCCCGGCCACAAGAGAGGGTGTGTGTGTGTGTCATGCAGAAGGGTGAGTTGGGTTTGGCCGACAGTGATTTGAAGGAGAAGGAGGACAACGAGAGGGCTCAGGCCCGTCATCCCTGTGTTTGCATCTGTTTGTGTGTTGTGTCTGTGTACCTTCCAAGGTAGCAGAGCTTGAGGAGGATGGTGTGCGTGGAGATGGAGAGCATACACAACATAAAGGTCGGTGTGGAGGGCAACGACTTTCATGTTGAGGAGGATGGTGTGGAGATCCATCCCATGGACGGCCATCGCGCCTGCAAAAACCAACGAGAACAGAGCAACCTTGCCATGAGGATGACCAGCAGCCTCCATCCCTCCCCCACAACCATGAGCAGGACTACGACACGGCCGGCCGCCACCAGGTAGCTGGGGGTTCAGAGGGAGGGCCGCACACATGTCACATAAATGCACAGAGTCTGTGGGTGAGGTGATGTTGTGAATGTGTGTCGGTGTGTCTGCAGGCTTCCAAGTCGACTACCCTCGCCGCGCCTGACACTGACGCGAGCGACGGTACGAGTGTCCTCCCTCCCATCAGACAGACAAACAGCCGCAGAGAAAGAGGCAGAAGGCAGACAGCTATGTGTCCATCAGACACGGAACGGAGGAGCTGTATCGAGTTTTTGAATCAGTGGGCGGCCGATAACGACGACGGCACCATCACATTATTGCTGACCGAGGAGGAGACAGACAACCCCGACTGGATGAACAAGGTGCCTGTCCCTCGCCTGGAGGCCCTCATCAACCAGCTACTCGAGGCCGCCGGTATGTATGCTTGTACTCAAGAACATACACATCACTGGAACCAGCCCACGTCGAGTTCTAATCTCTTACATGCTATGCCTGCCGAGCAGAGAACAAGAAGCAAGAAGGACGACGAGAAGAAGACGGGCAAGGAGGGCGAGCGTGAGCAGAGAGGTGGGAAGGACGGTCATGCATCTGTGAATGGTACCTACGGATGTATGTAAACATTCTGTTGCTGTGGATATCAGGGGCGTCGAGCGTGTGGGATCGGGTGCAGCCGCCTAAATCAGAGGGGCCGTCCACAGCCGAAGGTAAACCACCATTCAAACGGAAAGGGGGCAGGGAGAGGCGACTCACATCCATCCATCTGTGCATGTGACCTTCGTGGCTCTCTGTCCTTGCTATCTCTTCAGGGGGCCTCAAGGTGTCCAAGCGACAGCAGCGGGAGGTACACAACAACACGCTCAGCCAGACAGACAGACAAAAGGCCCCGACACAACCCCCTCTGCTTCGGAATCCCTGTCGTGGATGGAATGGTGCAGATCGACAGCTCGCTCTTGGGGGCGATATCGGAAGATGGGCAACTGCTTTCCAAGAGTGACATGGGGAAGGTGTTGAGTGGTCGTGTTGCCGTCTACGACAGCCACACCTCCACCCTCCCTATGTCGCCGGACCGGCCGCCAACCGGAGATCTGCAGCTCGAGCAAGAGCGGCAAGAGCCCCGCCAGCAGCAAGAGCAGCATCAGCCCCAGTGGAGCGACAGCGAGGAGGAGGAGGAGCAGATCGACGACGTGGAAGAACAGCAAGAGCAGGCACGCACATGGATGCAGACGAGGCCAATATTGGACGAGGCCCACGAGCCCTTAGCTGCTGCTCATGGCCCTTTCTGTCCTTGCCTGCCTGCTTTCAGCTGTCATCGTTGTCTACATTTTATATCTGACGGCGATTGTCTTCATTGCAATGCCCCGCACACCAACAGGAGACGTAGGCAAACCAATGAGCAACACGGGCAAGGGAAGTCTGTGTGTGCCTTGCACGAATCATTCAGACGCGACACCGCCATCGAGTCACTTTCGCTTAATCTGGGCCACCTGAGATCCAATCGTCGTGGATGAAATGGCAAAGTGCGTGTATGCTTGTCTGTCTGCTATGTGTCTCCCCACCCATCAGACGGTGTTGCCGTGAGTAGGAACACCCTCAGCCGACTCACGAGTAAGCAAACATCCATCCAAGTCACTGTGAGAACCACTGTCATCATTTGGTTACAGCAGTCCATTGGAAGTTGGTGTGAATGCACCGGCACCTGCTGTGGACGACACCAATGAGCAGGAGAAGGACACGGCCGAGAGGGCTGAGGCGGACGACAAGGTGCGGCCCGAGGAAGAGGGGCAACGGCGGCAAGTCGCGTGGGGTGTTGGATGGCCGCGTGCGTGAGGGTGGCTTGTCGCTCGTGCAGCCAAGAGGCCACCTGTCGTCGCCTGGGGACAAGGTGAGACTCGGGGACGGGACGATTCATGACAGACAGACAGACAGACAGACAGAGAGCTGTGGTCGATCGCTGTATCGCATCGATGGATGTGTGTCCTTTTGTCTGTCTGTCTGTCTGATTCGTTGGTTGGTTCGTCAGTTTGTGTGTGCACCACACGCCCACAAGGACCCTCCGGCCGGGAGCCAAGGTGCCGCTGCTGGTGCCGGTGGCGGGTGACGGGGCTAGTGTTGATGTTGATGGTGAGAGGGTCGGAAGCGACAAGCCCAAGAGGGCCCCAACTGACACCGATCATAAGGTGCGTGCGGCCGGGAAACTAAACACAACGACGCACAGCACAGCACATACACTCACTACACAGATTGATGCGCACATCACATCACATCATGTATGTGCACACATTAGTTAATGTGGTCGTATGTGTGTTCGTTGTGTGCTGTGCTGTGTCACTCAGGCTAAGCGTAGCGAGTTGGTGGTGCCTCATGCGACAGGCAAAGGACAATCGGCAGCCGAGGGCGGCCACCCCGGCACTGCCGCAAGTGCCGCCGCTTCGGCTTCGTCAGCTGCACCGCCGCCCGCGCCTCACGGTGCTCCTGTCGACAACAAAGCCCTACTACACAAGGTGAGTGAGTGGAGTGACGGAATGGGGGATGGAACGAACAAGAAAGAGATCACACCACACGGACCGAACGAATAGCTGTCTCTCACCGTGCGTATGTGTAATTTATGTATGTGTGTATGTGTGTATGCAGATGCAGATTCATGGTAGCAAGCCGTCCACGGCTGTGGATCCCGAGGCGCCCGCCCCCGCCGGCTCCCCCACAGACGGCCAGCCGTCAGACGACACCCCAGCGGCGCCCTCAACCACCCCTCCACTGCGACATGGCCTCCCTGGCGAGCACAGCCACGACGACCACCATGACCGTCTCAGTCTGCTTGGCTTCATCGACGACTGGGCTGCCGAGAAGGGCATGGACAGCATCCGACAGGAGCTCACCGCCGAGAAGACCGCCGATACCGACTGGCGAGACAACATCAGCACCCCCCGTCTCCGAGCCATAATTGAGCAGCTACTCGAGGGCGAGAGCACCGGTATGCAATGCACACATACACACACCGCCCACCGCACCACCATCTCCCTCCACATTTGGGTGGATCTTTCTTGTCTCTTATTTATTTCTCACCCATCACCAACAGCAGGGCCGGCTGCGGCTGCAGGGCACAAGGTAGCCGCGAGAAGCACCGGGGCGGATGGCACAGGTACGTAATCCAATCCAGGAGGGGGCAGCATGCAGGCCAGCCAGGAGTATGTCGGTACGTATTCGGTGTGTGGAGTGAGTGGACATCTGTTCGTGCTGCGGACATCCATCAGGTGCCAGCAGTCCTTGCAAGAACGACACGGCCCAGCGGGGCCGAATGCAGCCAGTACGGTCTGTTTCTTAGTGAAGGTATGGCGACACACGAGCAGGGCCGGGGGATCCGGCTGACCACATGGCTGTCTGTGTTTGGTCTCATCAGGCGCCCAGCAGCAGAAACAGCCAGCACACGTAGCACACCACACGCACATACGACGCCCGGACACTCGACGCCAAACTCACCTCGATGAGCCGAGGAGGGGTAAGAAGACAATGTAGGCAAGGGAAATGGCGATAGTGAGACGAACATAAATGTGTGTGATGTATGTGTGTGTCATCCAGGCGGCTGCCCGTGTGGCGGACGAGGAGAGCGCCGCTCGAGACGCCACCGAGGGCGAGCACCAGACGCAGGAGACAGTCGAGTTCAACGAACAGCAAGCCGACGACACGTCGGAGGGCAGGTCCAGCACCACAGACACACACACATGTCCCTCCCTCTCTCTGTGTGTATGTGTATGTGTGTGTGTGTGTGTGTCTGTTTATGTCAGGGCTGAGCGTCAGTTGGTGTCCGCGGCTGCCCGTGTGGCGGACGAGGATAGCGCCGCTCGAGACGCCACCGAGGGCGAGCACCAGACGCAGGAGACGGACGAGGACGGGGAGGGTAAGGACGAGGCCGACGCCGAGAAGGACGCAGTCAGGTAACTTACACACAGACACACACACATGTCCCTCCCTCTCTCTGTGTGTATGTGTGTGTGTATGTGTGTCTGTTTCTGTCAGGGCTGAGCCAAGGGACGTCCCCCTCCCTCGGACGACAAGGTGCGGCCCGAGGGAGGGGAGGAGGCCGGTGGGGAGAGGGGCTGCGGTGACGAGTCGCGTGGGGTGTTGGATGGCCGCGTGCGTGAGGGGTGGCTTGTCGCTCGTGCAGCCAAGAGGCCACCTGTCTCGGCCGGAGACATGTGGCACCTGTCATCGGTTTGGATACCACCTGTCTTCATCATCCCGTGAGAATCGGTGCCTACGTTTTATATCAGTTGGTAAGTTCGATGCCTAGCGAGACACGCTCACCGATTTGCTGAGATGATTTGTTGGCGCATTGAGTGATATGAATTCCAGTCAGTCGTTCTTGTCGCACCGTGCGTCACACGTGAAGAGAGCTGCATGTCATGCCAAATGGGCTGACCCACTAAAATCTCTCATCCTGGAACCTCGCACACACCCACACCACTCCCATCCTACTCAGTCATCCCAAAACCTCACACACACACGTACACGCGGACAGACGGACAGACTGCCGTCATCTGGTGTTCAGGCCGCCTGTCGATGGACATATCATCTGTCAGTCACAGCATCGACACGATGAAGCCCCCATGACCGGCCCCTTTGTAGAGCTGGACATCGGCAGCTATCCCCAGGTGCTCGATCGAGAGCTCGTTCTTGCCTCTGGCGACCCTCGCATATCCGTTTTCTCCCCAGGCCGGCCCCCATGAGTTGGCGACGATCCAGTATCTGTGGCCGTGCTCCTCCCCCCAACCCACCAAGAGGATGGAGTGGTCAACCTGTTGCACGATAGATACAGAGAGAGACGTGAATCATGCGGCGGGCAGGAGGCTTGTGTCTCTGCGTCGACCTTTTCATAATGGTACAGGTCCCTGTTGACGCGCTCGACTTTGGGGGTGTAGTCGCTGGTCAAAATACCGCCGTGATATACACCAAACTCAGCTGCAAAGACCAGACAAGAAGCCGCATGCACGGGCCTCCATCAATTGTGTCCCTTGCCAATGCAGAAATACCTCCTGGCTCGACAGAGACGACCATGGGCCCGCCTCTCCAGAGCTCATGGGCGATGCTCATCTCGTCGCATGAGCCCAGCACACCCGTCCTGCCCACATAGGTCCACTCGGTAACGCGGAGGAGCCAGGTGCAGTCATCGGGCAGTGTGTCCAGGTGGGGGGGCTCCTCGCAGTTGAAGCTGCCCTCGAGACTCACTTGACCGCCCAGGATGTTGCACAGGTCCTGTACTGGGCGCTTGCTGTGCTGCACACACACACACACACACCCATGGGCAAGCCAGATGAATGAAGAGGTCTTTGCGGTGTCTCCATGTGTCTCGTACTGGAAATGATCGCCGCAGCTCTTGGCGCACTTGCTGCTCGCACTCCCTGGTCCTGAGGCCCACCTCATTCCCGAATTTGGCCACCAGGAATGGATAGCCGCCGCCGCAGCCCTGATTGTAGACACCACACTGGTAGGCCTGCACACGCAGAGGCAAACGAAATGATGGAGTGAGTCATGCAGAAAGGCGGGCACTCCATGAATGGTGATATGGATACCTGTTCGACTGAGGGGTAGATTCTCTTGACAACCTCGGGATTGTGCAGATACTTGACCCACAACCTGCAGCAAGAGGATGGATGCCAACATCAATGAATGCAACGGATGGATGACCTGGCAGCGCCATGTCTCACCTTACCTTGCCGTGAGCATCTGAACAGTCGCCACAGCATAACATGACCCACATCCACCCTGCGGGTGAGGCTCTGGCACCAAGCCACCTTTGAACCAATATCCTGTCTGCATACACACAGACAGACAGAGAAATGAGAACGAGTAAGCACCCTCCAAAGCCAAGTCTCTTCTCCCTCCGTTGCCCACCCGCTCATAGACGTCCTGTTCATTTCGCCAGTCGAATGACTTCCGATGCCAAGGCCGGTCGGTCGGCACGGGCGCGAAGAAGACCTTCATAAAGGTCATCGTTTGTGAGTCGTTCTTGTACGGCGGCGGAGGGCTGACGGGCCCCATCCAGTAGGGCAGGTCGAGGAAGGTCTGCTGCATTGTGGCCTCGTCCAGGTGGTCATCCAGCGCCAGACCATACTTGTATGGGAGGTGGTCAAGGAGGCCTTCGTCGAAACCGCGCTCGCCCTCGATGGAGGGCGGAATGGGCATGTGGTCGGGGTCGATCTGAACAAGACAGGACAAATCAAATGAGCACCGGTAGGATGTTTGCAAGGGGTTAACTGACCACAGTGTCCAATGACGTTTGGTACGGGATGATGCCAATGGCCTTAAAGAAGTCCTCCAGCGTATAGTGCTGAGATACAGGGTGAAGCGCCAACCTTGGAACAAGGGATGGATCGTACGTTGGCTGCCTTCTGTACCTTACCTTCTTGCCGTGGATTTCAACGTAGCCATGAGGTGTGGGCGTCCAGGACATGGCTGGGAAGCAGCGAAGAGACAGAACTGGACAGTGAGACACGGAGACACAGAAATGAATGATGTCTCCCTACTTTTGTTTTGGTCCTGGACGCTCTTGAGCAGCTTGTCCACAAACTCAGCCACAGACGTTCCATTCGACTGACAAAAAAGAGACACGCACATGTCTCCTTCGTCGCTCGTCTTTGCTTCATCTTCATGGCTCTCTCCCTTTCACCTGCTTCTGCTGGGGCATGAGTCTGTCCCGATCGTCCTGGCTCATGGCAACCATCTCCCTCGCCGCCTTGACAAAGTTTGCGTCGGCAGCCTTCAGGGCCTCCTTGGTGTCTTGGTCTTCCGCACCCTGCCCGGCAGCCTCTTTCTGCTGCCCCTCGCCCCACGACCCGCCCACATTGGAGAAGATGTCGGTATCGTCCATGCCGTCCACCAGCGACCGCTGCATATGAGGTTCTTGACGTGCTCGGCGCTCAGCTGGCGGGACCGCGTCGCCTTCTTGGTCGTCGGCTGACCGTTGTGGTCCGTCACCCTTACCGCCCAGAAACATCCGCGCTCCTGGTCTGTTAGCCTGGCAGGGAACTGAATGGTGACTTGTGCCTCCATGCGGGCCTTGAAGTTGTTCTTGAAGGCCTCGCTGTCGAGGCCTGATCCGATGTCAGCGTCGATGGATGAGTTGGTCTGGTCCAGGAAGATCGAGGGGATGAGAGCGCGGGAGAGAGGGGAGACGGCATGCTGAAGCAGCTTGTGTTGTCGCCGGCTGGGGTGCTCATGCATGTGCTGAGACATGTGCTGCGTGAGGTTCCTCTTCTCTGTCATGGTGTACCAGAAGCCCAGCAGGGAGTGGTCGCAAAAGGAGTGCTCCGTCCTGCCGCCCATGAGGCCGACGTCGGTCACGTATTTGAAGAAAGCGAACCACATAATGTATTGTGTCTCGATGTTAAAGGCCTCGTCATACACCATCGTCCACTTGCCCAGCTCCCCATTGCTGAAGATGGCGTGAGTCCCGTCGAACACCACCGTGACGGTCCTCTCCATCTTGAAGTTGGACGTGATGTGTGGCGGCGTCAGGTGCTTGTGGGCGTCCTCCCGGTCAGGGATAGGATAGCCGCAGAAGTGGTCCGTCATGCCGCATGCGTGGTAGTGGCCAATATAGAACACCCATGTACCCAGCATGTCGCCGTGCACACAGTGGACAGGAAGGTCAGCCGCAACACGGCCAATAAGCGGGCTGAGGAAACCTGCCACCAAACCCAGCAGGAAGGCGTGCAGCAGCTTCATGGCTTCACCGACTTGGCCACGCTGAGTCAGAGTCTGCTCTTTGCAATGACGTCCGTCAAAGTCGACGGGTCCACGGCAAGATGAAGACTCTCAGGCAGCAAGCCAAACCTTCAAGTGAGCCGCCCGGAAGCCTTTGGCTGCCGAATTGCCGCGGCGGGCAAAGAGCCAACACTTGAGACTGGGGGAGCCGCGCCCTGCCCAGCTGGGCCTGCAGTAATTACTCAGAGCCCTTCAGAACAGATTTATGCCGCTCCTCCTTTCCACGGGAGGAAACTGCATGCGAAAAGCGCTAGCTTCGATTGGCGAGCTCAAAAAGGTGATCGCCTTTGCGTGAAGATACTTCCCCAGTGTTAACTTCCTGCGATGACTGGATTTCATTCTGAGTGCTTACTCGTCCGCTTGCCCGCTGACATGGCCACAGAAGTGAGGAGCTTCCTCCCTTCCGTCAGCTGCGGCACCCTTCGAGCCACGTCCAAGAGCATCGGCTGTCATCTCATCAGTGAGGACTATCTGACGGCCCACATCGACAGATCCACCCGCGAGAGGGGCCTGGACGGGGTGATGGCAGTGGCGAAGCGGCACAAGACGACCTTGGCGTATCTGCGGCACTGCCTCACGGCCGCTTGGAGCACACTAGTGGATGTGGACTCTTGGCTGCTTGTCGCATGGTTCGCCCTGGGAGGCGCTGTGTTTCATGTGACGGTGACTCTCTGCCGCTCCCCCTTGCTCTTGATGTATCTGTTGAAAGCCGTCCCGTGAAGCCGTCCCGTGCCTGACAGGGATCTTGTCCATGTATGGCCTCCTCCTTGTTGCCAACAAAAGGCTCACCTACGAACTCAACCGCGTTTTGGAGGACAAGCTCGGAAGACTTCCGATGTACGTCACTGGGCCTCTGTGGAACGGGCTGCCGGTGCTGCTGGGCTGCCGCAAAAGGATCAGCAGAATGGAGTATCTGCTTCGGATGACGAGCATTATCGAGGAGGGAGGGTCCTGGAAGAGGTGTGTGGCTGTTCACTTGCTGAGCAAGTGCCACGACCTCCCTGCGTTGCCGATGACCATGACGGCTTATGACGTGCGTCAAGTGGGCAGCAGGGCGGCTTTCCTATCGCGTCCTGAGACGATCCGCGGGTTTTCGCTGTTCAGCGGTCGACTTAACATTGGTTCTGTGTGGACGGCCCGTATCGGGATCCAACACCGGCAGGGTTTTTCAGAGGCCTTGAAGCGAATCCTGAGCATTCGCACATTGCCGCCCGGCCTCTCCTCTTACAAGGTCGACGAATCAGACCCACCTGTCCCACGGGAGGCGACAGCTGCGCACTACCTGACCATGTGGCAGGGAACAATTCTTGCTCTGGCCGTTCTGTGTCTGGCTCGTTTTCTTGCCAGGGGATGATTACCAAGTTGCTGCATCGTTCAGCGGCCTGCTCATCCACAACGAATGCGGGTGCTCCTTGACCAGCTCCCAAGTTTGCATGGCCCCCGACGATGTCGTCACACGAGACTCCCAGCTTCAGATGACGGAGCAGCTCAGACAGCTCACCGCCCGAATGGACCCGATGTGGAGCGGCAGTCGCCTGGCGTACGTCTTTAACTTCGGAAAGTGCGAGACAACAGTGGTCCTTTGTGGAGATAGACCGGGTGACGAATTCGCTGCGCTTATTCGCGTGAGAACATCTTTCAACATGGGCTACAACACCGGAGGCTCGGACACCGGGGAACTGTCGATCCGCACCACTGAGCCGCCAGTTGTGGGCGAACGAGCGGTGGCTCAGCAGTTCCCTCGCACAGCGGCCCTGGTCCGCAACAAGCTGGACACCATAGGAGCGAAGTAGCTCTACCCTTCGAACGCTGTGGCCGTGTGCGCACACGTAGGGGGGAGCAGACGACGCAAGGGCGGCAAGGGCCACCATTGTTTGTTCATGTTCATGCAGGTCGTTCGTTGCAGGGTGGTGGACTCTCCATTGCTTGCTGATCCGATCCTCTCTCTGTCTCTATCTACCTGTCTATCGGTGCAAGTGGCTGGTTGTGTTGGGCTGTGTTGGGCTGGTCTGGTCTGTGCGTGCGCCGCCAGTGAGTCGGTGGGGGGGGGGGGGGGGG